CCATTATATTAATCTCAGTCAATGTATTCTTTATTTTATTATTGCCTGCATTCTTTGATTGAGTTAATTTCCCATCCCACCACCAACCTCCATCAAGTTTCTGATTGTGGATGTTATCATTTGAATTGTAGTTCTGTTTCGCTATTTGTTTTGGTGGCAGGGAAGGGGAAAAAAAAAAAAAGCCTCGAAACAGCTGAGTGCCAGTAGTGCTGGAGATTTCTGTTTTATTTATGTTTTGTACTGAGCCATCGTGAATGATGAAGCATGTCTGGGACACGGCTGTGGGCAACACTCTAAGTGTTATAGTTGGAAAGGTGCCAAAGTTGCATTGCTTCCAATTTTTTACCATTAGCCTTTCGGAAGAAGGGATTCAAAGTCTCATTTTATTCCCTCCTTCACCAGTGTCACCTTTACACTAAATTAATGTGAGATCTTTACCAGAGATGGAGCTGACAGGATGAGCTGTTGATCCCACGGCATTCTTGATGTGGCTGGAGTGGAGGAACAAACCCTATAAAATGTAGAAGCTGGCTTCCCTCAGGAACTGGGCTGTGAGGAGCCAGGGGCATCCTCTGAGATAACAGAGTACCCCTGCTTTTTCTGGTGGGATTGTGCTAAGCCATGTTGTCCTGGAGCTCAGTAGGAAACAGCAAGCTTGATCCTGAGGATATGGCAAAAAGCAGCAGTTGTTCCCTTCTCAGCTGTAAGGGGACTCATGTCCGAGACTGTAATTAGAAAATATACCTGCTAATGAATTGGTATAATCCCCTGCTGTGTGCAGTCTGCTGTGGGATCTTTTTTCCTGCACTTGCAGAGGCGGGTGACCTTGTTAAATACTTAGCAGTAAAAATGTGCTTTCCCTTGCCTGTTTCACAGCCTTTCTTCTGGCTCTACCAGTGAACCTCCTCTCTATTAGTTGAAAAATATTTACCCGAGTTTAGTTTTAGGGAAAGAGGGAATTTAGGAGACTATACATGAACAGGTTCTGTATGTATGACATCTGAATGTGTCATACACATCTACATGGATGCACACACATGTGGAATTCTGATTTCTTAAAGGCCACACTAGGAGTAAAAATAAAAGAAAATTTAATATTTAGGCAAGGAGTTACGGTTTCAATTATTTTTAAGTCATCAGCCTCTTTAAATATTTAATCTTTTCTGTGCCCAACTAATTTATTCAATTGCAGTTAGGTAGGTTGTAATTAATTTTTGATGAGACAAGCTAATAGTAATTTGAATATCTACTACACTGCAATATTTGCTTGCAAATATGTTGTTTAGCTTCTAGATAGCTCTTTTTGCCCTTGATGAAGTTGCATGTTCTCACCAATATTGTCATATGTAGACACAAGGTCCAAGCTGCAGCTTAACCTGTGTGACACACCAATATAAGGATGAGTGTGCTGGGTCAGAGAAGAGTCCAGATGGCTCCTGTCCTCACCCCAACAGTGATTAATAGCTGATGCCTAAAGACAAGTATGAAAACAAAGGTATAGCAAGGCTTCCTGTGAGAGAGCCTCCCAGCCTTCATTGATTTGTGGTCTGGAAACATCTCAAGATAGAAATGGTGTCTTCAGATTTAATATTTGATCGTGTTTGTTGCATCAAAAGTATATAGTTATTTTGTATAATTCATGCTTTCCATCCGTAAAAGACTGAGACTCCTCCAAGGGAAATATCTCTTTTTACTGGAAAAATATCTTACCTGCCTTTTCCGATTAATGAGAACATCCATATGCCAGCTTTTGTGGCTGGAAGACTGATCTGATACTACTTAACTATGTTAACTGAATGTAAAAGTCTGAAGTGGGATACTGAAAGTAATTTGCAGCTTGTCAGCAGTTCCCTCCATGTGTCTGATCAAAGACTAGTGGTGGAGCACAACTTAGAAACACCACAAAAAACTTGTGGAATTTCTCCTACATGGGGCATTTCTGTAAGTTCAGACTTGTTTCAGATAAAAACAGTGCCAGCTCCTGTAGCAGCTGCAGACTGAAATGGATGGGTTTTTATCAGGAATCGCAGAATCATAGACTGGTTTGAGTTGGAAGTGACCTTAAAGATCATGTAGTTCCAACCCCCCCCCAGCACATTTCACTATACCAGGTTTCTCCAAGCCTCATCCAACCTGGCCTTGAACACTTCCAGGGATGGGGCATCACAAGCTCTTCAAGCTGCCTGTTCTCACTCTGCAGTTCTGAGATGGTCCTGGGTGCTCTGAGCATGGGGAGCTGTTCCATCAGCCAACCATGACCCTGGGCCTTTTTTACTCACTAGAGATGCCCAAAGTCAAGGAGGTCTGAGAAGCATCTCAGGAGCTCTGTGAAGGGTTCTCCAGGTTCTTTGACTGTGAGAGGAAAACCAGTTGGACAATGACCACCAATTCAGTAGTGGCTTATGGAGTGTGAAGGTTTTTTTCTGCAAAATCATACAAGTTTGGGTAACAGAACTGGCATACCTTCTTTTTTTCTGAGCCAACACAAATTATAGTTCATGAGGGTTTTCTTGCATTAATTTTTTGTGGCCTTTTACTTTACTCTGTAGCTGACTAGGATGGTCCCTGGCCTGCCTCCCTTCTCCTGTATTTATATGATGCACACCATCAGTGTGGAGGAAGCACGTTGCATTCAGGCTGGAGCATCAGCACTTTACTGCTCACTGGAAACCTGGCCAATAATTTAATTTTAATAATGTTACCCCTTCTCTATTGTATCATGAGAGATGGGGATAGTGCATTTTGCCATGATTAAAATTGTTTTCCCATCCATGTCCACACCTCCCATTACTTCTCATCCTTCACGTTACTGCATGTCTGTAGCACTCTGCTCTTTCAGTCTGGATCAGGCAACTGCTTGGCAGCACAAAGGAAGAGGGTAGCTTTGTTTTTGTCTTCTCCAAGAGCTGGAAGTGCGTGCTCCTGTCTGTGCTGGAATTTATGGTGCTCCCAGCAGTGCAGGAAGAAGGTACAGGAACTCTTATGTGCATTCATAGCAGCGTATTAAGGCAACTTGCCAACTTCCTACCAAAGAGATTTGCCTCCAGTGAGCATTGACAAGTTATACTAAATAGAAACTTCCAAGACCATGTCTTTTCCAACCTGAGACCAGGCTCCTGCACTCAGCTTGCAAGAATGATCTAGTCCTATTACTAGTACTTCTACTACTCAACTCAGCTGATGCTGTGGTTAATGCACAAAAATGTAGTACTGATTTTCTTCGTGACTATTCTGCGTTACAATTTACGAGTTGAAATGAAAAAGTAATTGTAGCTGTGGTCTCCAGAGATAAAATCCCTTAAAAGCAGTAGAATTAGGTCTTGCTGCTGCCTGCAGATCAAACTACTGCAGCATCAGCCATTTCTATACCCATAAGTCATTCAGCAGCCATTTCAGTTGGCAGTCTGATTTTTCATGGTTAGCCCAGAAGGGGACAGGAACTGTGAAGGCCCACTTATGCCCTTCATGTCTGAGTTCAAGAGAGGCAGAAAGTCTGCAAGTGTGTACCAAGAAATGCAGGACTGGGGCCTGCCACTCTGACTCCTGTTGTGGGTGTCTCACAAGCTGTTCCACTTGCAGAGCCTTTGGGTGTGTATGTAGCATGAACCACTTATCTGGCGTCCAGCAAAGTAATTAGTGGTAAATAAAGAAAATATATTTGATTGTTCTGATCTGTGTGACCATGCTTGCTATGTGGATTTTTGGTAAAAAAAATAAAAAAAGAAAAAAAAAAGTATGTTTTTGTGCATATATATAAAGGCAATTTTATATGGTATGATTTATATGATGGTAACTTTCACTGTGCACACTTTCACGTGCTGATTACTGAAGTCTTCCTTCTTGCAAGCCCAAAGGCGAATGTGTTTTCCAGATAGGTGTAACCTGTTCATGAGTTCAGGATTTTTTGTGGAGATGTAATGATATTTTGTGGTATTTTGAGCTGCCACAGGCTTTGTCTTGTATTTCTCTTCTATTTTTTTTTTTTTTCCCTGTGTTTTTTTCCATTCCTAGGCAAAGTTAGAGCATGTTTATGGTTGCTGAGTTAATCTTAGGAAGGCATCTCTGAGCTCAGTTTAAGGACACAAACCACATAGTCGGGGTGTACCTGACCTGGGGTGGTCAGACCCTGCTCTCTCCTCAGTCCTCAGCTGTTTTGTGCTGCTGTGCCTGGTTTTGATTCACAGGTTGTGTTATCTGGGTGGGGGAAGAATGCTCCTTTGACTGTTTTCTGATATGCCAAAGATTAGGGATGAACATTTGAACTTCTCAGTGCTTCTCTGGGGCAGCACTGCTGCTGGTGATTGTCTCCATTGCTGTCTTCTCACCTGGGTGTCTGCAGTGAGGCCCCCACATTTGTGTTCAGTCCCAGATCTGATCTCCTGAAAACACTGAGCATACCTAGCAGTGACAGTGAGCTAGAAAACGTGGTGATGCTGAGCCCCCTGGGCCCAGAAAACCCCAGCACATTCGCCTGTCTTGAGAATTCCCCTGGAGGCAGAACACTGGGAACTACTGTGTGTTGGGCAGACACTCCCCACTTGCCATCTGCTGTAAGCTCCTAAGCTTTGAATTCCTTGAGTAAGAGCCATTTTAATGTGCAAAGTATTAAGACTGAGGTGATGTCTCTGCTTTTAGTATGAAAGTCCTGTTATTCTTCAGAAATGCTATTATGAATTAAAATATTCCCTATGGGAGAAGTACATTACTTACTTTTGTATTATGATATTGGACTGGAATAAAAAGCAGCTAGGCTGTCATTCATTTCCTGGTCTAGGGACACTGTAAAAGTACTGTAAAGCAAGAATAACTTTGCACCACAGTTCTTGAATTCAACGATTGCCTTCTGAAGGTGCCACACATGATGGATTGTCATAGACTTTCTGTCCTGCCTTGACATTTCATTCCTATCCAGTGTTGTCTTGTGTTCTGCTCTGAATCTGCCAAACAACTGACCCTAGAATTAAATGGCACATCTTCTTCTCTTCCCTTTTTCTGAGCAGCGTGTTCTGCAGCTGAGGCTCTGAAATACTGGAGGACACCTCATCTTCCTCAGGGACACGGACAAGGGAGAGCTGGAGCCTCTGGGGGGCTTGGAAAGGAATTGCAGTTGGTGGTGGTCGCCTGAGGAGCTTACCTTCACACCAATGTTGCTCTGAAACAAGTTGTGTCCAACATTCAGGTTTGGTAAGGTATGTATTTTTTTCCCCTACTTTTTTTTATTTTATTTTATTTTTGTTCTTTTCTGAATGAGTGTGTATGCGGAAAACAGAACATTAGCAGCCTTTGTGTTTGTTGCTGTATACACGCCATGCTTGTGCTGCATCTGTAAATAACCTTTGCTCTCCCTGGATTTGGGAAGTGTTCATCAAGATTGAAGTGTTTTTATAGTCTTGGGCTTGAGGGGCTGCGTGTTTATATCAAGTGCCCTATTGAACAAAATGCTTGCTGATGGCTGTGTGTTTCTGCTGGTGGTGTATACTTGGTGATAGGCATCCACCTTTTGAAAGTCCTACTTGCTGTGTTTCACTAACATCCGCAGTTCTGAGGGCCAGAGATGCGAAAAAATAAAATGAAGTAGCCCATTTGTAATTCAGCCCTTCAGTGCTTTCCTTTGTGCTTTGCATATTCTTGTTGTTTGCCAGGGATGGAGATACCACTACCAATTCCTTGTATAATCGTATGGTCCCTTTTTTGTGGAGCACTTAAAATTTTTGCCAGTGGGAAGGTTTTCATATCCACCCAAACGTTTTCTTGGTTATGCTGGAACTGTAGCAAGGCAATATGCCACTATCTTTTAACAATAAATTGAAGGCCAGGACTTTGGGAATGTATTGTTGCTGAAGATGGTGCTATAAAAGCTTTAGGGTAATGCAGTCTCTGGTTCCACAGCTTCTTTTTTCTAGGTCAAGTTATTTCTGTGGAGGCAAAGTTTCCTGATTAAAAAAAGAACAAAAAAAACCCAAATTTAAAGCAATGATTCCTAGATCTCAATAGAATGGTTTCAGATGATACCCTGCTTTTTCATTTAACACATGGGTATTGACTTCTCTTATATGACTGAATCAGCAGTATAATCTTACTGAGAAAAGTACAGCAGCAATGTAACACCTGCGCTTGGTGTTAGTGGAGGAGGGGGAAAAAACAAGTCAAGAGTTTCTTAAAAGCCTTTAAGAAAACATGATGCATCCAGGTGAGTGTGCATTAGTTCTCCTGCTTTTTGATCTGGTTGCACCAGTCAGGTTACCTCTGGAAATGGTAGGCTCAAACTCTCACGCTTCAGCAGAGCTCTGACTGTCTCCAGCGGTTGCAGGGAAAAGTTGGTGGGAATAGCTTAAATTAGGTGCTTAACTTTTAAATGTTGAGGGTCAAGAAAGGTCTGTTCCAGCCACAGCATATGCTGTTAATTTGTACAGGCATTTCAGGAAAACAACACGGTTGTCAGGGAGAGGTTCCCATTATTAAACCACTGCACTGCTTGCTCCAGTTGTCTCTCTGCTCCAGCGGCGCCTGGTTTCTAGAAGAGGAGGTTGTTAAATGTTGCTCTTGCCTTTGTTATCCTCTTCACTTTTGTTTATTTCCAAGCTACTGTTTCTGTGATTAAAACACTTAAAAGGGAAGGTTGTAGGAGAGGTATTTCATCATGACGAGAGCTGCTTGACTCTTGCAGAGAAAAATGTTGCAGTGCTGTAATGTAGAAATCACAGCAATTTTGTTTATTCTTTGTTTGGGTTTGGAATTTGTAAGTAGAAACATATAAATTTTCCTGGCAATGAGGATGTGAGTTCTGCTGGGTAAGCAAGGGGAGCCAGGGCAGGTGAGGATCTGCTCCAGAGATGTTGGTTGCTGGTGTGATTGTGATGCTGCCCTTCGTTTGGACAGGATGGTGTTTAGATGAGCTCCCCACATCCTTTGCACCTGAGTCAGTCCAGCTCTCAGTCTAAGGTTCACGTCTCAGTCTGCAGCATGAGGTTGTGTAGATCTTTGTAAAACTTCACAGTTTCAGAGGAAAAGACAATTTTCTATACAATTGATTTGCTATTATTTGGGCATTAAACTCTAGGTTGGACTTTGGTCATATTTTTGCATTTTACTTTGTGACTGTCAGATCTAAAAACTTGGTTCTTATTTAAGGGAAGCTCACATTTATGGAAACTTCATCTTTAAGGAAGAACATTGCAGATTGAGAAGACTGTGCTTAAGGATAAAGATTTGGCCAAACTATTGTTCACTGAAGTAGCTGAGACCCTTCTTTATCGATTCTCTTCATTTTGAGGGTTCATGATTACCAGAATATTTGACAACCATCAGCTTTATCTGTTCCCATGACACCGCTGTTAGACAGAAGTGCTGCTTATCTCCATTTTATAAATGGTGAATAAGAAACAGAGTCAGTTCTAGGTCACTTTTAGGTGATAAACATCTGTCTCTGATTTACATACAATCTAAGTGTGGAAGGTTCATCCAATACCCACAGCTGGAGGCACACAGATAGCCTTGGCTGAGCAGATGAGTCTGTAGTGCAAAGCACAGGGTTTGGATGTGGATCTGTTTGAGGTCACTGCTCCAATCTAAGCCAGTGTCTTCCATGTGTCCTGCTTTCCCAAGTAGAGGGATTTTTAATGAAGTGATTACAGTAACACCAAATGACATGAGGACTCAACATTTACTCCATATCTCTGCTGGAAAGTGAAACATCTGTTCAAATAATGTGAACTGAACTCATTCATCTTTGCAGCAGAGTGTTTGCTCATGTGAGACAAGCAGATTCCCTTTTAGCAGCACTTATGCATTTGTGGTGATGGCAGTCTTATTGTATGAGGAATTATTTTAAATGGATCTTCAGATAACATGCAGAGTAATATTTTTTTCTGAAATTGCTCATTTTTAGATTAGCAGAATCAGGTTAGTAAAATGCTCTGTTCTGCTGAAAAGACACCTTTAATAAATATGCAAGAGAAAAATTTTAAGTAGCCATTAAACATAGTTAATAAAATTTATCTTGCAAGTAGAATTGGAAAAAACCCTGTTCATTTAATGTGTTTTATGGCTCTCATAGCGATTAATTGTCTTCATTACATGAACATAAATCCTCAATGTAATTCACCTTTTTCTGATTAATTGCTGTGGAAATTTTCCCATTGCTTTGTTTAGACTGTAGTATTATTTCTCTTTCCTAAAAGTTGAATCTCAGCATCACATTTTTTCCAGATGTTCTGCAAGTCAGTTGCAGGTAACAAAATCTCTTTGCATTACAGGACAATGCAGAGGTGGTGTTGCAGCTGTGATGCTCTGATCAGGTGAAGGAGGGACTTTACTTTCGCTTGACCTAAAGCAGAGCAGGGCACTGGTGTCCTTGTCTCACTCCCTGTATTATGTGGTCTGATAAAAAGTTATTATTTCTATCTTCAAATGTTTCTTGTTTCTTGTGTGATTTTTTTTATTAAATCAGAAATAAACACTGATTTTATATGCCTGTCAAAGGCTGTCAAAGGAAGACCCTGGTGCAACTTTTCAGTGACTTGCTGAGGGGTGCAGATCAACTGGTTGTGTTTGAAAATATGTCAGTAAAATTGTCCTCCAACATTATGGAGGGAAAAGCTCGAAGGGAGCATTACAGGATGTCTGCTTGAATTCCAAAAGTTAAAATCAAAGCTTTATTTTGAATAAAGCCTTTGTTCTTCTTGATTGAATTTTGCACACCAAACAGGGAAACAGGACAGAGTGCAGGATCACGTTTTACAGATGTTTTTTTTTAATCAGTGAGCACACTGAGCTTGTTTGCCTGAGTAACAATTATGCAAATGTTTTCTAGTGTTTCTCTGAACTATTTTACCAGGGTGATGAAATAAACACCCATTATGTTTGCATGTTTTGTTGCAAGATCAGCTGACTGGCTGTTAATATATCAATTCCCTTGATGACACCACTCCTGCAACCCTATTCACTCAGCTTCTCCTGACAGGGCTTTTATTGAATCCATCAACCTGACACATATCAAAGCACAATTTCTGATAACAAATATCTTGTTGTAAAATGAATTAAAAAGGTGATAGCAGCCGCAGAACTGAGTTGAATTTCTGAAGGAAAATAAGAATCCCCAAAACTATAATGAAATTCTTAAGATATCAATCACAGACCAGTAATATAATAGTCCTTTACCTGTGCTCTTGAAGTAGTGAGAAGTCAGTGGGTTTGCAAGAAGTCATACAAATGGCCTTGCCCCTGGGCTGTCAGCCTGTGGTTCTGCCTTCTGGACTCTGATGTTTGTAGTGGTGCTTCAGAGAGCTTGATGAAGTAATAGTTTATTTTCTCCTGGAGACCTTTTGCCTGTGAGGACCAACAACCTCCTTGTAATTACTTTGCACTCTGGTCTTTGAGAGAATTGGAGACTGAGGAGTGGAAAATGCTGGCTCTGAGTGGAGCACACATTCTTTCTCTCGGAAGAGAAAACAGTTTGGAGTCCCTTTTCCTCTGCTGAGCTGCTGCTTGGCAGCCCATGGACCACATATTGGGCAGAGTCCAGTCAGGGTGGAAAAGGGCACGTGTTTCTATGGGCTCCAGATGTTTTGAAATTAGTTGGCTCAAAACCCTTTGTCTGAGAACACATTATTTCTGTCTCCTTGCAACCTTCTCCTATCTGTCTTACTCTCTTCATCTTGTTTTTCTATTCCCTTTGGTTTTGCATCTCTTAGATGACAAGCAGCTTCAGGCAGGGCTGCCTTTGCACTGGTGCTACTCTCGCTATGCCCAGGCTAGCTTACCTCTGATTTTTGGTTAGCACACACTGTAAAATACTAGCTATTAATAATCTTGCTTTTTGCTCTGTGGCACGTCTGCTCTTTGGATAAGTATCCACTGACAGTTTTCAGCCTTGCAGAGAGGAAGAGGAGGGTGGCCAACAGTTGATGTGGAAAATTAATTATGAACTGCCATCCTCCTGCCATGTAGTTAAGGCAATTCTGCATTCCAAGCTTTACATCCAGCTGTGCAGAAAATAAAGAATACTGCATTTCCTTCCTCAAATAGTGGGAATGTTGCCAGAACAAAACTTGGTGGAGAATGTCTCTTATGGGACTGATCTCTCAGGATGCTCTAGAGCCTTTACTGCTCTGCCTGCAGCTGTGACACTGCCCAGAGAGTAGTTTTTACCTTTTGTTGGACAAATATTAGCCTAATTGTGCATCCAAGC